GCTCACAGGTGCCGCTACCCTGCAGCCACCCACCTGCCACCCCGCAGCCACCCACCTGCCCTGGACGCTTCCTTTCCTCGAACCCAACGGAGGGCTGAGATTTCCTTCCCTTGGGGAGAACGTCACAGAACCCAAGACCGTTATTCTTTTAATTGGTGCCTGTGAGTGAACCAGAGTCCATCAGTGTGAAGTCTGCACATTCCAGACGCTGCCCACCGCCTCCCCAAGGGGACCCCCGTGGCAGCCCCTCCCCCTCCCCCTCCCCAGGCCGGGCTTCCCATCTCTGGGGACCGGCCTGACCCGCCCCTGCAGGCGGACAGCTCCCCGGGGACAGATCCAAGCTGGGCCAGGGATAGAGCCCAGGGACACTGACCCCTGAGCCCCCTCCCCAGCCCTTTTCGTGTTTTACTTAGAGACAGGGCCTCGCTGAGCTGCTCAGGGCCTCGCTGTTGCTGAGGCTGGCCTTGAACTCACCATCCTCCTGCCTCAGCCTCCCCAGCACCTGGGATGACGGGCGCTCAGCCTGTCCCAGGGTTGAAGGGTGGTTTCCAGTGCCTTCCGTTGTGCGAACAGAGCGGAGTGTCCCTCCTCCCCGATGGACGCGGGTGGGTCGCGCCCACCGCTCCTGTCAATCTCCAGATCGTGTTGGACACCTGTTCTCTGTCCCCTGGGGAACCCACCTCCAGCGGCCGGACGGTACCTGCGGCAATTCCGGGCCTCCCTTTTTGAGGAGTTGCCAAACACCAGCAGCTGCACCTCACATCCCCACCCTCCGTGGCTCCGTCCTTTGAACTTTGTGCCTTGCAAATACCGGGGACCCAGGTTCAAATCTCGGCTCAACCACTGTGACAACACGCTCCTCTTCCTTCCCGTGATGCCCGAGGCTCTTTCTGGCCCTGACCCCAGGAGTCGCCTGTCTCAGCCCGTCCACCTCAGGGCTCCCCCGTCCCTGGACTGGGGACAGACGTGGGGACCCACAGATGGCTGGCCCGGCTCGGAGGTCCCCAGGGAGGAGACGGGCCTGAGGTCCACGCGGGGAGGCAGAGAGAAGAGGGGGCGGTGCTGGCGGCTGCGGGACTTCCTGAGCCAGCAAGATTTTCAATCTGTTTTTGTGCAGAAATAGTCGGACAGATCTCCAAACAGAGCAGAAAGGAACCTGTGTTTAGGTCCCGGCTGAGTGTTTAGGCAGCTGGCATCGCTCAGCCGCGTGCGGTCAGGTCCTGTTCAGAAATACGCTCCCAGCGGTGAGCCCGGGCCGCCCTGTCATTTTTTTTCCAAATAAAAGGCAGAACTATTCCTGGCTCCGCTTGGGGACTTCTGCGGCTGCCGGGGCTCCAAGAAGGCCAACCCGGACCATCAGGCATGGCCCGCGCCCTGCCGAGGCTCAGCCTCCGCCGCTTGGAGCCCCCACTTTCCACTTTTAAATTAAAACGTGTCCCCACTGGGCCCACCGAGGCTGCCAAAGCCCCGGCCCCCTCACCCCAGGCCCCCGGGTTGTGGGGAGGCGTTGCCGGGGAGCATTCGTGGTGGGGACACAGAGGACAAGCCCCGCTGACAGCAAATTGAGCATTTGCTCAGCCACAAAGTCAGGTCCACGCTGTGGGGGGTGGCCCTGGAAACGTGGAGTGGGGACAGAGGCCACCGGAGAGGCCACAGGGGCTGGGGGACCCTGTGACCAGTGGCTGCTCACGGGGACCTGATGTCCTTTGGGGGTGGCCAAAATGTCCTTCGGCCGCGGTCGTCTCCCGGGCGTGGAGTTTCATTTTTCATGATTCCAGTTCCCTGAGGTCACCTGGTCGGAAAGTATCCAACAGAACATTCCAGAAACAAGCCAACCCTAGGTCCGTGGTGACTGTGACGGTGGTGACAGAGCGGGGCGTGACTCCTGTCACCTCCTGCTGAGCTTCATTTACGCCCCAGGTCGGATGCCGAGGGGGACCGGCCAGCCGGCCAGGCCTGAGGATCCGCCCACCCACAGGTCAAGACGACCCGGGGGAATGTGTCTCCTGTCATCGTCCCCCCAACTGTAGACAGGTGGCCGTGGTGACGGGCCCTGGGTCCTGGCCACTCGGGAGACGAGGCAGGGCTCAGGATCAGCCCGGGCCGCGTCGCGAGATTGAGAAATAAAGTGAACTAAAGCCCAGCGACGGGGACGCGGGTGAGTTCTGCACAAATGCACCTGCAGGTTCCGCTGTCTGCAGGGCGTTCTGAGCACCACTGTATACATAGGTGGGTCTCGGTCACCACCGGGGTCGGGGAGGCCCCTGGGCTGGGGGGTGCTTGCATTTTACTTAGAGACAGGGTCTCCCTGAGCTGCTCAGGGCCTCGCCGTTGCTGAGGCTGGCCTTGAACCCGCCATCCTCCTGCCTCAGCCTCCTGAGTGCTGGGATGACAGGCGTGGGCCACCGTCTCAGGAAGACCCTGCCCCCAGCTCACAACCGTCCACCGTCCCCCGCCAGCTGACCGGGCTTACGGCCCCTTCTCTTCTCTCATCCGAGATCCCTCAGGCCAGGGGCTGCCTTGGCTGACTTTTTTAACTGGCTCTGACTTAGAAATGACCCCCGCCCTCCTGGGTCCTTTGTGACCCTGACATTTTTGGAGATGGTGAAGTCGCTGTTTTGCAGAATGTCCCTGGGCTGGCTGCCCCTCTGGCTCCTCGAGACCAAATTTAGGTGGTGACTCTTGGGCAGGATCCTCAGGGGCAAGGCCAGGTGTCCCCTGCACATCATGTTGGGAAGCACCTGACACAGGTCCGTCCAGTTGCTGGGGTTGTCTACTGCACTTAAGGTGGGGTGACCACAGGTCTCTTTCATCACCCTCGTGCCTCTGAGCTACACCTCCAGCCCACCATGAGTCTTAAAATGTCCCTAAGGGACCCAAACGTGAAGGCAGAGCTGGGAGTGCCTGCCTTCAATGTCCCCCTCCTCTCTCAGCCCCGCTGACCCCCAGGGCTCCCTGGTCCTGCCATCCCGCCTGATCAGGAAGGAGAAGCCAACAGACCCGGGACGGCTGGGGGGACCAGGGAGGGCAGACAGGACACATTCTGGAAGCTTCCAGGAGGAGGTGGCCTGCGCCTCGTCCTGCAGGTGAGCGCTCCCAGCGACGTCCCCGTCCCAGGGTCCCCCTGACGGTCTCTAGGGGCTTCCTTCCAAGCACCAGGGACAGCCCGGGGGGTTCCGGCTTCTGTTCCAGGCCGGGTCTGACCCCGACAGACGTGGGTGGCATGAAGGGACTCTCGAGTCCCCGTCCTCGGGGACCCGGCCGCTTCTCCTCTTTGAAGCTCATGGTCCCCAGGCCGCAGGACTCGACTCTGATTCTGTCCCCACCGCTCCCGGGACCCACCAAGGCCCGGGTGTCGGCGGCCACGGCCGAGGGGACGGGCCACCTCTGAGCTCTCTCCACCCACCAGGGTCCGGAGACTTTGTGGTCATGCCTTGGGGGGTGCCGGCACTGGGGGAGGGGGAGCTCCTGGTACAGGGGGGAGGGGGTGCTCCTGGCGTTAGGGGGAGGGGGCCAGGGAAGCTGCCCAACCCCCTCTCCTGCAGGGGACACCCCAGCCGGCAGGGGACCGTCCAGCCCAGTGTTGGGGTGCTGGCCCAAGAAGCCTCTGCACCCCATGCTGGGTCTCCCCCGAATCTGGCCAACTTCTGTCCGGGGACTTTGTGACATGAGACCCCACGTCACACGCGCAGATCTAAACTGCTTTATTCCCAACCGTGAGGAAACCCAGAAGCCACCGTGGGCAGCTCAGGACGCCGCGTGTGTCCACACAGTGGGACATCGAGCTGCTTTCTAAAATGAGGTGACTCTGTCCGGGTGGGTGGCGCTCGTCTGTAATCCCAGCGACTCAGGAGTCTGGGGCAGGAGGATCGCAAGTTTGAGGCCAGCCTCGGCCACCCGGGAAGACCGTGTCTCCAATAGAGAATAAAAAGGGCCGGGGAGTAGGTGGGCGCAGAGCGCTGGTCTGGCATGTGCAAAGCCCAGTGCCACCAAAAGAAAAAGAAAGTGAGGTGCCTCTCGCCAAAGGTGGTTTTGCTCCATGCGAGGTGGCCTGGGCTGCTGTGACCAGGGACAGGTTTGCTCCTGGCATCGGGTGGGTTGAGGCCAGGGTGCTACTGGACGCCCTGCAGAGCCCAGGACGTCCCCACCACGGACCGCCTTCCCAGGTGGCCTCTCTGAAGAGATGGCATTTGAGCCAGGATCTGGACGGGCCACCCTGGGCAGTGTTCTGAGGCCTGGACCTGGCAGCTCAGTGGACACAGCATTCCAGGTGACCCGGTGCCTTTGAGGAATAGTGAGAGGACGGCTGGGGCCAGGGAAGGGAGAGGCCGGAGGCCATGTCCAGGGGCCCGACCCTGAGACGGACACAATCCAGCCATGTTCAGAAGGCCTCTGTGGCAGGCAGCCGCCGTTACTGTGATCAATTACCCGAGGCCATCAGCTTATAAAGAGAAAAGGTTCATCTGCCTCACAGTTTAAGGGGTTCCAATCCGTGGCCCCTGGCCCTGTGGCTCTGGCCTGTGGTGAGGCAGCAGGAGCAGGTGGTGACGCGGAGCCACAGCTCACCACGTCAGGGAAGCAGAGAGGACAGGAGGGGCTGGGTCCCCACTGTCCCCTTCAAGGACTCGTCCCCGAGGACTGAAAGCCTCCCACTAGGTCCCACCCCTGGACGGTCCCACCTCCCAGCAGCTGGGGACCAAGCCTTGAGCGCGTGGGCCTTTGAGGGACACTCAGGCTCCAAGCTGGAGCCGTCTCTGGGGGTAGAATGGGGGACAGGCTGGGGGGTCGGCCTCCCCGGGCAGGACGGGGGAGCCCAGCCAGGCCCACGGCTCAGGGGGACCAGGACTCCCGGCAGCGCCCGCGGCGCCTCCCGCGGAGGACCAGACGGTGAGGACCAGCGGCCTGTGCGCCCCAGGAGCTCCCTGCAGCCTCCGGCCTCTCGGCCTCTCGGCTGTGCCTCCGGAGCCCAGGGCAGCCGTAGCCAAGAGCGCACAGTGGCCTCGTGTCGATGAAACTGTATGACATCAGAATCTCAGGGACACTTCACATGTGACAACAGATCATTCTCCCTCTAATAGTTTTCATCTATTAAAAATGTAAAAGCCACCGTCCTGGTGGGTGGTGGCTGGGGTGGGCTTTCTGTTGGGGCAACAAAAATGTTCTAGAACCCTCCGTGGCAGCGGGAGCGCAGGGCAGACAGACGGACGTCACCGTGCGCTTAAGCGAGCGAAGGCGTCACACTGTCCCTCAGGAGAACTGCTGAAAAGCCGCCGTACAGGTGCTCGCTGCCCTCCTCCTGCGACCTCCCTGAGCGAAGGAGAGGTTATCTTCGTCACTGTGAGCGTCACCTGCCACCTGGAAGTGTGACCCGGCAGGACAGCCATTGGTGGTTTCTGTGCCTGCGGAGGAGGAGGAGGAGGCTGGCCTCCGTGGAGGCTCCCTCCAGCCTCTTCCCTTCTCCTGGGGATGGATGCTGATGTGTCCCTCCGGGAAGCAGCGGGGACCCTGGGAACTTGGGACGGGTCCCCACCTGGCTCCCCACGGACCAGCCTGGGGCCACCACGGGAAAACCCTCGGGGCTGCTGCCCACATCTGATGACAGCCCCAGTGTCCCCTTGGCAGGGCCCTGTCCCCCGTAGGAGATGGGGAAACTGAGGCTGGGGGGGGAGGACCTGTCCCCAGTCCCTGGTTCAAGATGACGGGGCCAAACCCAGCCGGGCCCCGCTTCTGTGCCAAGGACAGGGGACCCTCATGTCCCCTTCTTGGGCCCCGTCTCTCCGATTGCTGCTGTGGCCCCTCCTTGGGGTCACCCGTTTCCGAGTCTCCTTTGTGCCTCGGAGGGGATCTTGTCCACTCCCCAGAGACGTCCACCTGCGTTCCCCCTGGGGACAGCCCTGCACCCCAGGGGACATTTGGCCACGTCATTTGGCTGGCCTCCATGATTTGGGGGGAGTGTCTGGCCCGAGGCCCCGTCACCCTCCGCGGAAGGTGCTCCCTGGGTGGGTCCCACGCCATCTTGCCAGGAGGCAGTGACGGTCCCCAGGCTGGGACTCTGGGCCCGGGTAGGTCAGGGCCTCAGGCGTCCCTCCGAGGTCCTGGGGACCATGAGGGCGTCAGAGCGGAGGGGACCGGGGGCTCCCTGTGGGGAGAGAGAACTCTGACCCTCGGGGGACACGAGGGGGACCCTGGAGGACGGTGCTGGCAGGAGGGGCCCCTCCCGTTGCCAGGGCTGGGGGAGGGGAGGACCAGGGTCTCGTCCTGGGGTGGAACTGGGGTGCGTCACCTGGAACCTGGGAAATGCCGTCACCGTGGTCTGGGTCACACTCAGGAACACAAAGAGGCTTTCCTTCCCCCCAAAATCCAGCCCCGAGACACATCCTGGGTCCTTCTTGGGGAGGGGACCCCCTCCTTCCACCTGGGGACGGACCTGGCGCGGGTCCAGCCTGGGGGACGGGCGGGTGTCCTGGGTCCTGGGCCCGCGGCTGTGACGGGCCCCTTCAGGGCTGGAGGGACCCGGCTCTGCCCGAGCCGCTCAGTCCCGGCTGTTGCTCTCGGCTCTCGGCCTCCGGCCTCCGCGGCAGGAAACGGGCCAAGCAGGGCTTCCTGCGGCCGCCGGTTAAAAATAACCCGGTATATAAAGGGGCCAGGCTCCCGCACTCGCAGGCCGCTGCCCGCCGGCCGAGCAGGTGGCTGGGCGTGAGGAAGGCCCGGCCTCCGCCCCGGGCCTCCGGGGGGCCAGGGCGGCCGCCAAGTTCACGGTCTCAGAGCCCAGATCAGGGACACCGGCCGCTGTTTCTGTTTGAAATCACTTTTCTCCACCCAAGAGGCCGCTGTCGGGGAACAGGGGAGCCGGCCACGCAGGTGGGGCTGTGACCTCCACCCTGTGGGCAGTAGCGGTCGCCCCTCTTCACCCCGGGGCCTTTCTTCCCCAGGCAAGGCCCCCCAGCACCCGTGGGTGACAACAGACATTCAGTGTAGTCTTCCTCCTCGTTTCCGAGGCGCGGTCTGGCTGGGTTGCCCGGGCTGGCCTTGAACCTGTGGGTCCAGGGATCCTCCTGCCTCAGCCTCCCCAGTACCGCCGTGTCCAGGGGACACACGGCACCGTGAAACCCAGGAGCATCTGAAAACGTCCCATTTAACAGGCTCCAGAGACAGCCCACTTCACAGCTGCGCCAAGTGAGGCCCAGGGTCACCTGCTGTCACAGTGACCCAGGGACCAAGTTGCCCGGGGAGGCTTTCCCACCTGCTCTAAGTGTCCATCTCACCCTGCCCTGTCCCCGAGTCCAAGTCACCCGAGGTTTGGAGGAGGGTCTCCCAGTCTGTGAAGCCCCCCCTTCTCCCGCGCTGACCCGGGGGACTGTGGAAGCCGGGAGGTGTGGCTGGAGGCCGAGGTCCATCCTCTGAGCAGGGAGATGGCTGATGTCCCAGGAGGGCTTCCCTGGCCATCGGACGGCCACCCCAACACATGGGGAAAGCACAGACACGGGGTGTGGCGGCAGGTGCCCGTCATCCAGCTCCTCGGGAGGCCCAGGCAGGAGGATTGGCTGCGTCCAGGGCTTGAGGCCGGCCGGGGCCACACAGCAAGAACCCGGGGGTCCACCAGCCAGGACCCTGCGTTGAGGTCAGAGCCAGGGCCGGGGCTTCTCGTCCAGGGCTGAGCCATTGACCAGGAGAACAAAAGACGACACCGATGACCACATGGAGAGGGACGTTGGCGTCACCTGCCAGACCCCACACCTACAGGAAGGCGAGGCCAGCTCTAGGCCGCTGCGGCTGGTCAGGTCGAAGACCCGATGACACAGACGCCGTCCTGGAGCCACCAACGGGCACGAGGGAACGGACCCCGGGGTGGCCGCCATCTCCAGGAGGAAGGGACATCGACCTTGAGCGCTGTCCCTCAGAGGAAGTGCCCGTCCCCTTGGGGTCCCTGGTGAATTTCCCCGAAGCCTTTGGGGCACCCCCAGCTCTGAACGGGCGCTTTGTGGAGTCGCCCCCCAAGGCCTCTGACCCGGGGCTGCCCACGGCCACCCTGACGCCACTCCGGGGGCGGCGGGGACCCCGACAGGGTCTCGCTCTCCTTCGAGGGGGCCGCGTCCTGCCGCCAGGCCTGGCCCCACCGGGGCCGGAAGATGAAAGGCAGAAACCCGACCTGCGGCCCGCTCCTGAAGGACGCCTTTGTGCCCCGCCTGCAGCCGCCATCACACCGTCCCCGGCCGCGGCCTGCGGACCGGCTGCCTGGGCTCTGAGGCCCCTTTCAGAAGCGCCCGGGTCCCCACCGACTCTGCCGTGGGGCTATTTTTAACTGGCCAAAGGGGGCTTGCTTGGGGCTGGGGGGACACAGGGAGAGTGGACAGGGCAGGCTGCCGGGGGCTCTGCGTGGAGCAATGTCTACAGCGATGGGCAACGGGGAGGGAGGTGGAAGGGGTCCATCTTGGCCCTCAGTTTCCTCCTCCATCCAAGGCTCTGCCTTCACAGTATCAGAGGCCAATCCCAGGAGCCAGCGTGGAGGGCTCTCTGCGTCTCCACCTCTGCTTCTGACCCTGGCCTCTCCAGCCCCTGGGTCTCCACCAGGCCGGACACGAGGCCCTGTGAAGTTGTCACCAGCCCAGCAGGGTGGCCCTGCGGCCCAGGACCGGCTCCTCAGGCTGTTTGAACTCCCTTCCTGGGCCCTGCTGGGCTCCTGATGCGGGGTCCCCGCCCCGGTGGCCCGACCCCAGCCGCTGCCCACTTGGACTTCTGGGGAGCTGCCCTGGGCCCCCAGGGACAGTGGACAGGGCAGGCTGGTGGGGGGCTCTGCATGGAGACCCCCAGCAGGGGTCGCAAGTGACTCTCCAGGGCAGCCCCCACCTGTGACCCCAGTGTCCCTGCCTGTGGATGGCTGTCCCCTAGAAGGGCCTCTGTGTGGGGCGCCCACACGGGGGTCCTGGCTGGCCCCTGGCCAAGCGCCCAGGCCTCGAGGGCCTCAGTCCCCACCTCTGTAAGACGCTCGAGCGGCGGGTCCTTCACGGCAAGACGCGGATCTGACACAGGACACACACACCAGCGCCTCCTGCAGCCGCCACGTCCCCAAAGAGGGTCCCCGCTCCCTGGTGGCTGCCCGGCTTATTTCTGAGTTCTGCCGTCTTGGTCCCGACAGGCCCGCGGCTTTAGCACGCTCACCAGGCTGTGCACCAGGGTCCAATTCCAGAACATTCCGTCACCCCAAAAGGAAGGCCTGACCCCCTGAGCAGCCCGCCCACACCCCTGCCCCAGCCTCTGGCCATCTACTTCCTGCCTCTGTAGTTATCCGTTCTGATATTTTTCTATCGATGGAATCGTACCCCATGTGGCCTGCAGCAGCTTCTGTCACTCAGCATCCTGTTTTTGAGGTGCAACCACGTTGTAGCCTGTGTCCTTTTAGTGGGTGTGTAATATTCCCATGTGGGTATGGGCCTCTGGGCTTCCTCCTCCTGTTAGCTGTACCGCTGTGAACTTTTTTTTTTTTAAGAGAGAGAGAGAATGTCATTATTTATTTTTTAGTTTTCGGCGGACACAACATCTTTGTTTGTATGTGGTGCTGAGGTGGTAGCGCACTCACGCGTGCCAGGTGAGTGCGCTACCACTTGAGCCACATCCTAGCCGCCTGCTGTGAACTTTTTGGGTGCGGGTCTGGATAAACACATACTCCCAGTGTTTCTTTGGACAGCTACACTGTCAGCTTTCTGTTACTATAACAAATGGGTGAGATGGTTAACTTATAAAGAGAAAAGGTGCATCTGGCTCTCCGTTTTGGAGACTTCAGTCCTCGACCAGGTGGGCCTCGTGGTTGGGGCCTGTGATGAGGCGGGACATCGTGGCGGGAACTTGTGGACAAGCTGCTTATCTCAGGGCCAGGGAGGCCAGAGAGCAGAGGCTGGAGCCTCCCTGTCCCCTTTAAGGACATGCCCCAGTGACCTGAGGACCTCCCACGAGGCCCCATCATTAAAGGTCCCACCCCCCAGCAGCACCAAGCTCGGGGACAGCCTTCAACACAGACCTCTGTGGACACTGACCCAAGGGTGGGGCTGCCGGCCGGGTACAGGGGCGTCACCTGTCATCCCAGGGCCCGGGAGGCTGGGGCAGGAGGATCTCGAGTCCAAAGCCAGCCTCCGCCACTGAGTGAGGCCCTGAGCCACTCAGCGAGACCCTGTCTCCAAAGACAAACCAAGAGGGCTGGGGGTGGCTCCGCGGTCGCGCCCCGGGGTTAACCCCTGATACCCAAGAGAGCGCGGGCCACGTGGCCGCGGCGGTGGCTCTGACCCCCTTTCTGGGGAGCCTCCCAGCTGTTTCCGGGCAGGATTGAGCCTGAGTCTCCGCAGCACTTTCCCACGTGGCCTCCGCCAGGAACCGCCTCCCGCTGCGCCAGCGCCACGGCCCCCACCTCCCCACCCCACCCCTGCCTCGGTGACAAACGAAGCAGGAGACACGGAAACAGTGGCCTGGCCCTGCAGACCAAGAATGGTCACCCCTGCCGCCACTGCCCACCAAGGCTTCCAGTGTCCCCTTCAGTGGGTAGGACTCAGGGCACCCAGAGAAACCCGGATGTCAGCTACACAGTGGAGACCGGGCAGCGTGAGTACACCCCTTCAGGCTCTCTCTGGGGTATACTTACACATTCATCGTTGTTTATCCAAAATTGGAATTCAACTGGGAATTCTGCATTATACGGGTTGAATGTGACAAGTGGCTTTGGGACTGCTGGTCTGCACAGCCAGGGAGAGATCAAAGGCAATTCCGGTTATTTCAGGACCCAAGTGACCCCGCCCGCTGCAGCAGAACCCTCACAGAGACGTGATCCACCAAGACCAGGTTTCCAGGTTCCTCAAAAAATCAAGAACATGACTACCCTCTAACCTGGCAACCCCAGAGCCAGGGAAGTGAAATCACTGTGTCAGGGGACAGCCCGAGTCCCAGGCTCAGGACAGCACTAGTCACAAGAGCCACGATTCATGGAACCCACCTAGGGTCCACAGATGGAGGGACGGGGACAGAACTGTGGCACAGACACACCTGGAATAGTATCCAGCTGTGAAGAAGGATGGGATCCGCCTTTGCAGCGTAGACGAACCTGGAGGACATGGTGTTAAGTGAAATAAGCCACACAACAAGTTCTGGCTCATCCGCGGGATCCAGAAAGTGTCGGTGGAGGAGAATGGCGGTCAGCTAGGAAGAGGGGAGTGGGTGACAAGTCGTTCATCAGAAGACACATGATTACAGTGAGACACCAACCCATCCCGAGAGACCCCTCGGACCGCGGGTGACTCTAGTTAAAGGTGACATATTGATGCTTGAAAAATACAAATGGAGGAGTGTAGATTCTCATCACAAAAATAACTATTTGAGGAAAGGCGTTTGTCAGCTAGCTGGACTTAACCGTTACACCACGAATACGGCCATCAAAACAGGTGACCCAGAGCTGGCCCACCAGAACACGACGTCGTCTGTCAGTATTTTAAACATGTTTTGTTTTGAGGCTGGTCTCTAACTCCAGGGCTTACTGATCCTCCTGCCTCAGCCTCCCGAGTAGCTGGGGCTACAGGTGCGCCCCACCAGGCTTGGCTTAATGACCATTTATCACTCTATTTTAAATAAAGAAAAAGTCTCCAGTTCTCTCCCTGGGTTCTGGTGACAGAAAGGTCTGGTGACAAAGAATTTGATCAGAGCCTGGGAAATCTTTGAAGGTTCATATGATCGGATGACAAACGATCTAAATTCGTCCCCAACCCCAGGCCG